AGTGTGCATTCAGTACAGGAGGAAGAGTGGTTAGTCCTTATCGTAGTTGCCTAACGCCTAAAATAGTGGAAGTGCTTGTTTGCACACAAGATTGGTTAAAAGGAACACCTTTCTCTATACTTTTTGACGAGGATCCTAAAGAACTTGAGAAATTTGAGCAAGGTGAGATTATATGACAAATTTATATATTTTTTAATTTATATTTTATGTGTTAAAAAATGATTAAATATTTTATTTTATTTTTGTAGAGATAACATCTCAAGATGAAGTGGGACCTTTAAGTGCTGCTATTAATTTGGATGATTGAAAATCAAGAAAGAAGCATTGATGTAAGTCCTTGACCTTAATGTAAGGCTATTGAAGATGTTATTCTTGAGCTTGAACTTAATGACTATTGTGTCTTGTTCTCCATCCACGGTTGTGTATAGAGAAAATTAGTATTTGTAGAGTTTGTTAATTTATGGATCACAAGTTGTTTTCCCTAACAATGGTTTTATGAAGTTTTTAATTCTTTACTCCATCTTCAATAGAGATTTGCTATTAGTGTCGGTATGCTACATTTTCATGGCCATATTGTTATAAGATATTGTGATAATTTTTTAGGAATATTATGATTTATTTTAAAAATGTGTCTCTAATACTTTTTCTTTGGTTTAATTATATGCAATAGATGGGAGAAAATGGCTATGGCTCTATATCCTGGTATACCAACAAGCTATATGGAGGGTTAGTATTTGCAGTAGGAATTTCATTTCAATTTGATTTTTGGCTTGAGTCAACATATATCATGTTGTGTATCTCTTCAATTTGAACGTGTAAAGATTCATCGAACAATTTTGTTGTTTATCCTTTTGGTTTCCGGAGCATGTGATTTGATTTCAAGAGTGTGTTTTTATTTTTATGTGGATCGGATTCTAGAATCTTCAGATTGTAGATAGAAGATCATAGTTTAAATGATAAAGCAAAGAAGAGGTTTTTAATATTTATTTTACTTTTCCAAATACAGAGGAGGCCAATATGATAGGTATAATGGTATTTGCTATGTTAAGGTGGAATTTTACCTGTCATGTCAACTCATGTTTGACTGGATCTAGTAACTTTTATCTTTAAAAACACATTTGAAATCTCGTGGTTGGCGGAGTAGGATAATATTCAGTACTTGAACAATTTCAACCATGGTGATTCATCCGAGAATCAAGTAGCACCAAATCCTCCTTTCATTGCCACACTTATATGACTGATTCTATTTTACATATGAGAAAAGATACTTGCACAAGTTATGTGAGAGATATTCTTAATCTGGAACACGATTTTTTTCATGTAAAAAACTTATGTGAAGTTGAACAGGATGAATCATCCAACTGATTTATGATGGCTTTAATTTTGTATCATTTAACTTTAATTCTGAACTGTTTTCACAAAACAGTTTACTGAACTGTATTGTAGTTAACTGAACTAAAAAATAGTTTAGTTCAGTTTTTTTGAACTATTTTTTAGTTTAGTTCAGTTTTTTAAACTATTTTATAGTTAATTGTAATGGATTTATAGTGCAGTGCAAATAGTGCAGTTTGCCCACCCCTAGTTGTAACAATTGTTTTGTTTTAACATTTCATATTTTTGTTACATTAAGATCTACATCAATGAAAAAGGTAACATCAATGTTAACCAAAAGAGATTGGCTCGACCTGAAGAGCTTTCAGTAACTAGCTCACGAGCATATCACAAAAATGGATAATTTATTACAATCTTCAAATAAGTATAAAAAACAACAATCAATACAACCTTTCAAATATGAGCACAAAGTCGTTTATAACATATTCATAACCTTGAGGAATATATAATGGGTTAGAAATGAATTTTAAACCTAACGCAACCCCACAAAACGGCTTGTAGGATGAGATTTATATCCATTTATAAACTATAAATTGACCTTATCTTTAATCGACGTGGAACTTCCATATATATTCCAATATACGAGAGTAGATAACACCTTTAAAATAAGATTGAGTTTTATTAAAAAGTGAAGTTTAAGTTCGAAATAAGATTGAGTTTTATTAAAAGTGAAGTTTAAGTTTAATTATTAATCAACGTAAAATTTCTAATGCATTTCTTCGCTAATATTAATATATATATATATATATATATATATATATATATATATATATTTCATTAAGAAATAAACTTTAAATTTAACTCAATTTCATAAAATTATATTATTTATAATTAACGTGAGATCTCGGCAAATTTTACCATAAACACTAGTTATTCGACCTTTTTGTGGTGTCTTTACAAGCGTATATGGTATATAACATTTCAATGTGCAAGCTTCGTACTCAGACTTGATTTGGAAGGATAGCAGCTATTTTGACCTTCTTGATTCTAACAAATGCTAAAAAAAATTATTATTAATAATTAAGTGTAACAATTCTTATAGCCATTTTTTCAATATCCAAATATAGAACTATGGATCAAGATAAGAGAATTGTAGAATTAAAATCATTAGAAACAATGATAATAATAGTATTTATTTATTTGAAGTTCATATCAGAAAATAAAACTAATCAATCACCACAATCACCACCAGGTCCTCCAAATTGAAGACAATACTCAACTTTTCTATGAAGATTGCCGTAGTAACTAAGACCAAAACACTTAGGATTGTCAACGTATTTTTTTATTTGATAGTTTTCAGGTCCGTAGTTTTTTCTGGATGCATTTTTGTAATAGATATAAGTGAAATAACATGCATGATAAAAGTTTCCATCAGGAAAATATCCCGATCCCATTGTAGGACTTAGAGAACCACGAGGAGTTAATGTTCTTCCACCCCATCCTACTTTATCCGCTGAACTCAAGTTGGAGAACAATTTGGCTGGAAAATATCCAACAGCAATAGTATTGCTTAGATGTATCCACCAGTTTTTGGACTTTGGGTCCTGAAAATGTATGTACAAAATTTTGTCAAGAAAATAATACCTCACTTTCATGTATCATACAATAGTATATGAAAAATGTATGCCAAGAACATTACCTGACTAATAGAAACAACAAAACGATAAGTTGGTCCTCCGTACAACGATGTATTTAGAAAAGGTCCACCAATATAAGATGCAGGATTAGTCTGAACAAAACCTGGACATCGTAAATTGTAGCATCCCGTCTTATGAAAATTGTCTCTCTGTATATTTTTTTAACATCACATTACATTTTGAAGAAATGAATTTCTTTTTCAAAAATATTTCCTAAGTTAAAATAATATTCATGTGAAACAAAACTCGAATTTGATGTTCATATAAATGTGTGTACCGTCCATGATACATATGAATGGGTTCGATTGTCACCGTACAAATCCAAACTCACCTATAACAAAATGTGAGATCAGAAAGGTATTGTTTTCTATATATCATTATATAAACACTATTTACTGAAAAAAGGTTTATAATAATAAAATTAAAACTTACATGCCATCCAACACTAATTTTGTTATTACTGTCTATGGGTCCATTTTCAACCCATACATGAGAAAGGGACATTTGACCCTTAGTAACTCTTGGGTTATAAATGCTAGTGCCTCCTTCGATCCCATAATATGGACCATATTTTGAAGAAAGAGCCATCTCGGCAAGCTGCAAAGTTTAATAGATTTTAACATCGAATATGAGCTAATTTGTAGAAATAAACCATGAAAATTTGAATTTCAGTTCAAAGACCCAACATACATGAACACCAGAGACATCTTTGACAAAAATACTACTATTTAGTAATTGTTTTTCTTGAATAAGTTCTTCTTTCGTTGTTCTCCGAATAGGAATTGTGCCTTTAGGACATTTTACAAATCCAAATATTTGTGTACCTTGTAATTTCTTCATACTTGATTTTTCAAATGGTTTTCGTATGCTAGGCTTTTTCTGCAATTAAACAACAGAAAGATACATTTAAACTATAAGGAAATGTAATTATATAAAGATTGAAAAATAGAAATTATTCAAGGAAAGAAATGTATATATATATATACTTGTAACTTATGATTCTTTAGTAAAGGATGATCAAATGCTGGTTGTTTATTAATATCTATACAGTCAACTGTGTCTCCATATTTTGTCTCCAGAATATAAAATACAACAAAGAAAAAAATAAAATATCAGTAACTATAATTACATTGAATTCACCAAAAGAATGTATAAGGAAATTTTATTAAAAAAACTATAAATACATGAATAGTTTTAACAGGAGGCTTGTTAATGAGCTTTAGTTGTCGTTCGAGCTCCATATCTTCTTTCAGTGTATCTCGAATACAATGACCTGTAGGACTTGCACCGATCACCAAACACAAAACTACGATCAATGTTTTGATCATTTTTCTAGATTGTCAATTATTTTTTTATTGCTCACGTTTAAAAAATAGTATTTAAAATTGAATATTAATGTTTCGCATTAGACAAATAACGTTAAATATTTAATAGCATTAAATATTGTATTTATTATAACATTTAATAGTAGAAAAAACAAAATTCTTAAGGTGTTTGATAAAGATAATATGTTTGAAACGTTTTTCCAATCATCAGTGTTGTCCATAAAATGTAAACATATATAAACACAGAACAAAGATAAATCTTGATCATTTTTCAATCACTTTTTGATTGCTCATGTTTCAAACTAGAGATAAAATAGGACAAACAAGAGACCGCTCAGTCATTTGGCAAATGAGTGGTCCCAAATTCCCTACCATGCAAGTTTACTTGTAAATCTTATTTATTAGGTATTGGATTAGGATTACGGTTTGATTAATTATAAGTTCATCTTGAAACTTACAAATACAAGTCAGAGATAAAGAGATAGGTAATTCGGTTTATTGTGAATTTAAGATATTAGAGTAACCCTTGATCGATTAAATAACTAACTTGAGTTTGACAAAGTACCTGTCCATACGGGTTAGAGTACAAACATCAAGAACATATAAGAATTGAATTAAACGTACTCAAGATAATATAAGTCATTCAAAAAAAAGTGTAAAGAAATGTTTGATCGTGATTCTCAACCCATATAGAAACAAATAATATATTGAATCTTAATGTTTTGCATTAAACAAATAAAGCTAGATATTTAATAGGATTAAATATTATATTTATTATAATATTTAATAGCAGAAAAAAACAAAATTCTTTAAAGAGTTTGATAAAGATAGTATGTTAGAAACGTTTTAAATATTTAATAGCATTAAATATTATATTTATTATAACATTTAATAGTAGAAAAAACAAAATTCTTAAGGTGTTGATGAAGATAATATGTTAGAAACGTTTTTCCAATTATCAGTGCTGTCCATAAAATTTAAACATATATTATTATTTTTAAAAAAATGAGTTTTCATTATTATTGTTATTATTGGGTGAAGTTTGATACAAGAAAAAAAAATTCTTTTATTTAGCTTGATTAAACTGGATTCCTACTCCTACGTATCTCTAGGTATATCAGATAATTAGAGTTACACAGTTTTTGCATAAAAAATTATTTGTCTATTAATAGTTGTAAATTTCTGTTATTTATTTTTTATTAAAAAATTATGAACTATCACAGCTCAAAGATCATGGAAAAAAATAATACAGATGTACACCCAAACCAATTTATTAATTTATTTATGATTTTTTGTGATTATAGTTATTTTAATTCTTTGAACTTTAAAAATAAATATTAAGATGACTACAATATTTAAATTAAGTCATTCAATATTTTTAAATGTTATTATAATTTTTAATTGAAACATAAAACCTTATTTTAATATTTTAATAGTTATGAAATATTTACTTGAAATTATTATGATTAAATTTTGTGTCTTTTCAATTTTAGAACAAAGATTTAGATTACAAGTTGTCACAACCTTATAAGAGTCTACAAAATAGTTTTAAGAGTAATATTAGTTTATTTAAGATGAAATATGAATATTTTATTTTTAAAATGTAAAGATTACAAGTGGAAAAATCGATTATTAAATTTTTCTATATAAAAAAATATCACTATCTTTATAAAATGAAATTCTTTCTTTTCTTTTACTTTTTTTATCTCATTCTATCAAATCTCATAATTTGTTTGAATGTAAGAAAGATTCTTGTGTAGGGTAGACCAATCTTATCTAATCAAACTTTTATTTTGAATAAGTTCATCTTTATCCATTTTCTTGAGTCAATTTTTAGAATCTACATAAATGGGATAGTGCATCTACATCTTTTGCTCTTTTAGGATCATAATGGTTATTTGTTTGTCTAACATTATAAATGTTGATATCTTTTATTTGAGGTTTTTCAAGTATATATATCATATAAGAGTGAGAGTTTTTGGAGCTTAGCTTGAGCCAAAATTCTAATCTAAATAAGAGAAGCTAGTTTAATTTATGAATGTACCATAAATAATGAATTGAGTGTGGTATGTTAGGTAATTTAGTAGTTTAATTTTAGGTTCATTTAGTCAAATTGGTTGAGTTTGATGTTATTTTGAATATATATATATATATATATATATATATATATCACTTTTTGGCTAAGGAACGAAGTGAAAAAGCCAAATTGATGAATGGATACATGTCTTAGGTTTGAATTATGTAGATTTGTGAAGCGAGTCATTCTCTTGAGCAAAATTTGTTTAACTAAAATCTAGAGAACTTAGATAACGTTGTTAGTCAAGGGAGCTAAAAAACTTTAACCCCTAGTGTTTTGGTTTGCTAGGTGAGCCAATATCTAGCTAGGTTAAATTTGTTTTGTAAAAATATTAAGAGCTCAAAGAGGATTAGTCACTAATGTTAGAGGCCAATTTCGACTTTAATTCACAAATCAATTATAATTTTTTATTAATAATAGAGACTATTTTATATAATAATAATTTTTAGTATATAAAATAATCTTTAGCTTATTAATTACTTATGCCTACTATTTGATATTTTTTTATAATGAAATCAACAAAATTCTCTATAGAGAGTGAAAAGTTTGTTTAACTTCAAAGTGAATTATCCTAATTGATCAACTCCGGTTCAAGAAATTGGGAAAAACAACAAAAGGGTAATTAAAAAGGAAACAATAAGTTTGTAGAGAGTTAGAATTTTATCAACTTTGTTTGAGAAAATTAGAAGTGAGAAGTAAAGGGATAACAAATTAGAAGTTGTTAACCTTTGGCAAGTTTATATAATCGTTCTAGTTATTTTGAAAATTTTAAGTATCGTTTCTCAAGAGATTTACGTGTTTAATGGTGTATATTTATTGATTCATTCTATGAATATAAACATGGTTTTTGTAACATAAAAAAAATTACAATGCAATACTTGTCATATACAATTATTCTTATCAAGATTCAGAGTATAGACCTTTGGACAAGTAACAAGATTTTAATGGTGGCTTGAATGCTTCTGATGACTGGAATCAAATACCTAATTTTTCAGAAGGGGAAGATCGATCTGCAAAAGACTCTCTAATGTTAAAGTTAGTAAGAGAGTTTTAGGATCTATATGAGTGTATGAGTAAATAAGAGAGGATTGTGTGTATTTCCTAGTAATACCTTGTGTATTTATAGGGTTTCTAGACCTTATGAGGTTTATTGTAAAAATTAGGTTTAATCATTTAGATAGTTTCTATTTCTGGTGATTTTTCTCAAATAGGTTTCTCACCTATTTTTTGTCTCAATTGAACCCTTATTTTGAAAAAATTCAAGCCATTAGGTCATTGCCGTTAATTCCATACTAACACTATTAAATAGGTATCACGTGTCAACTTGTGGTTTTTTTGAATTTTTTAAATATTTTTTTAATTATTTTTATCTTTTTAATTTTTTTTAAAAAATTGTCACATGTAAAGCTGACATTGTGTCACGTGGCAATGGTAGTGTGGTGTAGCACTATTAGTGCTACATGTCAATGTCAGTGCCATGTGTCACTGTCAGTGTCATATGTCACTATCAGACCATGTGTCATTGCATTTGTCTCAATTTAGTTATTGTATTTTTATTTTGTACCAATTTAGTCCTTGTATTTTTATTTGGTTTCAATTTGGTCCCTACATCAAATGATTAAAAGGTTAAACTAAATATAAATTTTGCTCGAGAAATTTGACACATGAATAATTTTAGAAGATTTAACTAAATGAAATAACGGTATGTACTTTTTCCAAATTCTTATCTTTAAAGTTTATTCTGTTAAGTGAATTTTTAGAAAGTTTGTTCTGTTAAGTGAATTTTTAGTGATGATATATTCTAACTCTTAATGTTTAACTCCAAAAATTTTTTATGAATTGTTGAGGAAGTACAAAGACTATTTTTGTGTAGATCACCTTCACAAAAATATTAATTATTGAAATGTTAATTTTTATAATTTGTTCATTCTTATTATTTAGGTTAAATGATTTTATTTGTTTTTTAATTTTGTAGGAAATTTGTAAATGAGTTTCTTTATTTTTATTTATCTCAATTTAGTTTTTGCTTTGAAAACTGTAATGCAATTAAGTTATTTTTGTTAGTACTACATAAATAAAAATGTGTTTTATGTTAATTCATAGTTTTTTTTATTTTTCTAATAAAAAAATATTAATTTGTATAAAAAAATTTGTAAAGTTTTATGTACAAATTAAATTTTGTTTGAATTTGAAAAGGAACAAAATTATTTAATTTTTAAAAAATTAAGACTAAATTGAGACAAAATAAAAATATAACAACGAAATTAAGACAAAATAAAAATATAAGAATCAAATTGGGATAAATACAATGACACCTGATTTAATAATGACATGTGACACTGTTTCACGATGAAAAGTGGATGTTAAATAAAAAATATCCATAATTTTGAGTTTTAGAAATACTACAGTAGATGTGATTAGGGGTTTTCTTCCCGCACTTTGTTTTTCTTCCTTCACTCTAAAATTTTGCTGTGATACCCAACATAACCCTTCATATTATATATTTTATTAAATTTGGTTTTGAAATTTCTTAGATTTTGAAATTTAGTTTTGTATTTTCTTTGGATTTTGAAATCTTAAATTTTGAATTTTTTTTTTTAATTTTGAAATTTGATTTTAAATTTTTTAGAATTTCAAAATTCTGTTAAAAATATTTGCAGGAATTTTAAATTTTGGTTTTGAATTTTATTGGATTTCAAAATCTAGTTTTTGAGCTTTTCGGATTTTGAAGTTCAATTTTAAAATTTTAAGAATTTTAAAATTTGGTTTTGGAATTTCTTAGATTTCGAAATTCAGTTTTAGAATTTTTCAGATTTTGAAATTCAGTTTTCCATTTTCAAAATTTGAGTGTGGAATTTCCTAGATTTCAAAATTCAATTATTTTTGAGTTTTTCAAATTTTAAAATCTAGTTTTAAAATTTTTTGA